TATCAGAAAGATATGCATACTGTCTGATCTGTAAAGACTTGCATGGATGTAAGCGATAAAGCTTTGAGTCCCCAGAAGGATCTTGACTATGAACTGACTTTATGTGTGAAGACATAAACTGATAGTTGATGAAAGACTTGCCACATGCTAAACACTGATACCTTCGTTCCCCTGTGTGATGAATTTCATGCTTTGTGCGATATTCTGCAAGAGGAAATACCTTCTCACAGTAACGGCATGGATACTTCTTCTCCCAAGAATGAATATTAAAATGTCTTCGTAAGCTTGTCAGACAGACATATGACCTTTTGCATACAATGCAGATATAATAGACCCTTCCATCTACTATTAACTCATAGTGATCATCATGTTTTACTTTCATACGCTTGTTTGAAGGCTCACTGCCAGATGTTTTTGGTAGCTCATTCTCAAGTTTGGCCTCCCCTTCATCAGGGTCATCTTTGACAGGGATCACTATGTCATAGGTATCTTCACCGATATTTGCATAAACCTTGCAACCAGTTGATAAGCCTTCAATTTCAGTAGCTGTATCTAAAGTAATAATCTTCTGACCCTCCATTAGATGCTTTGATCCTAAACCTGGATCATTGGTGTTTCTAGTAATTACATCTGAAATTTTTAAAGAATTGGAAGGTGACTCTTGAAGAAGTACAGGAGTCTGCATCTTCTGTGTCAATGAACCATCAAAAGTGGTACTTTTGGAGGTATCAGCCTGTGGGACCAAAGATGTATTACTGACTGCTGAGTCTGGACTGGAGCTGATGGTGACATCATCATCATCTATAATTTCTTCCTCTTCCTCTTCATTGGCCTTGTTTCCTGTTAAAACAGCATTGTTTGGTGTCTGCTGATTCTGTACAAGTAAATTGACTGAAGAGGACATATGATTTGGAAGTGAAGAACTGACACTGGGTGGCGTAGTAAGTGGAGCCTGATTTAATAAGATAATGTTAGGAGTCAGATGTGTTGAAGCTGAAGACACCAGCAATTCTTCACTTCCTTGTGTCTGGCTAAGAGTTGCCTGATTTACAGGAGTGGGAAGCGTCTGAGCAGGTGTGATGTTTGTTAAAGGTGGAGAGTTATTGCTAGCACAAGGTGTCACTTCTGAAATAGCAACAGGGGCTGGATTAGGCTGGACCTGTGTCACCGTGTTGTTACTTGGCAAATTCTCCTTTGCAGGCAAAATCTCAGAGCAGAAAATGACATCATCATCATCATCATCAGAATCAGTAACAATGATCTTTTTCATTTCATAATCTTCAGCAGATAATGAAAAAGACTCTGTTATAATGGGCATTACAGTAGCCCCAGTATCTTGGGCTTCGTCTTTTGATTTTTGTATGTCAATGTTTTTGTCACTAGAATCAGGAGGTAAGGTTTCAGCAGTACCATCTTGTGCTGATATGCTTTTAACCTGTGACAGTGGGACACCAAGCTCTGCTATAAATTTCACTCCTAGTAATTGCCCCGATTTAATCAACTCGTCAAGTAAATCTGCTCTAACACGGACAATTTTAGAACTATAGATATAATTCAGAATTTCTGCAAAAATCTCTGCTCTTATAAAGCTCAGTTCAACAACTTGCCCAGCAACTGAGAAGAGCTGATGGAAGTATGTACTTGAAGCTGAAAGAATGTTCCTATGGGCCCGGAATTTTCGGTCTTCCACAATAACAGTAACATCACAGAAGAGTCCATGGCCACGTTGTTCATTCAAGGAATTCAGCAGACTGCCAGAGTATTGAATGTCTGTAGCAGAAATCAGTTTTCTACTCTCCATGCCTAGAAGGGGCGGAAGGGAAGAGGGTAGATTAGGAAGGGAAAAACTAAAAGTACTTAATTATTTAGAATTTAAGGCACAGAAGTATTAAACGGTTTACTTAAATTTAAATCCCAGTTTGGTTTAACATCTTGACTTTTAAATATGCTGCTTCCGTACACCAGCTTTGGACCATGTGTCAAACCTCGTGACTTACTCTGAGAAAAGTCAAAACAGTTGTAAATTGCTGTGTGGATGTGAACAATAATCCCCTTGGTCACCTTCTTTTGAAATTCAGAAAAACGTATTGTCACTAATTACCCTTTTAAAATTAGAAGTCACTTTCTTAGCCCCAATTTTATTTTTTCTTTAAGAGATAAGAATTAATATTTAATTAAAAAATCTTCATCATAAACCATACAAGTTACTTCTTCTACAAATGAATGATTTAAATGCCAAAACAGTTTAGTGTGTTTAGTATTAAGTCTGAAATTTATAGTCTCTTTAATTTCAGCTAATCTTATTAGTAAGATCATATTCCAAAGTTAACCCTGACAACAAGGACAATAACAAACACTGGCAATTCTTACCTCACAATTTCCCATCTTTTTTGTTATCTACCCCTTGCCCTTCCATGCCCACCCCTCTACACTTTCCAGAGGGGCAGTGTTAGAGCACCAAGTGAAGGCAACACATACTCTCTTGAAGGAACAAGAAAATGGAAAGGAAAAGCATTTCATTTCTTAGTGCTTACTTACATAAAAACTGGAAACATCATACTTTGTTGGTAAAAAATTATGTGTACTAGTATAAGAACTTATTTCTCTTCAAATAAGTTAGTTAAAACAAAAACAGTAACTTATTGGGACACAGGCAGTATTACTACACAGAAGGTAGTTAGTGTCTCTGTTGTGTGACTCTTTTTGCATTTCACAGAAGACATCATAGTAACAGTGTAGTCAGAGTGTGTAACAGTGTGGTCAGAGTGCAAAAAAGCCATATGAATTTCTTAAAACATTTATAAGCACAAACACATGTTATATGAGAATATTATGCATTAATCATTAATTGCTAAGTACCATTGGTAAAGAATTATTTTGCCATTAGTATGCTTTCCTTTTAAAGTTACTGAAGAATATCACTGTCAAGGTAATTATGACACACACGTGGCAGGCAGAGTATCTCTCTATTTTTAAAAAAAATTTCAACATCATAACTTAAAATCAATCTATAGGCAAAAGCTTAAAAATCAAGGATCTTAAAAAACATATTAGCTGTTCCATTTTAACAGAACCAAGGAATTATAGGCTATCATAAAGGCATTCATCATCAAGTGTGACCTTTGGACAATGTACCAACAATCCAAAATATGAAGATTTTGACAGAAAACACCTTTAAGTGGAGAGGGATGTGTATATGGCCACCTGATTTTTACCGTTTGCAATTATTATTTTTTTCCAATGTCGGAATGTTTCAATGCAGGTGTCCAGGTGACACTGGGATTTGGTTTCATTTTGTTTAGGTATTCATCCTGCTCGTCAGGGTTGGCCCAGGATCAACCCAAGTGGGTCTCAAACCTTTCCTCCCCAGAGATTTACAACCTGACTGTGGAAAAGACATCCTATTACCATTGTGTGACAAACCTTTGATTGTGAGCAGCTTTGGAGGGCTGATGAAAGTAGGGAAGAGATAAAAACCACCCGCCAAAGAGTGAAACAAACCCAACACAGGGCTCCCTGAAGCCGCTGAACACTATTTTTCTTCCACCACCTCCCTCTTCCTTTGAACTTAGATGCAATCGAGTTTTTTAAGGCCAATTTACGTGCAAAGGCTAGCTTCTTGCAAATAGAGATGGAGGTGCAAATAGCAGAGCGAAGGCGGGAGGGATGGGGGCTGGTGCTGGAGAAAGTAGAAGGCCTAGATCTGAAAGGTACAGCGTTGGGGGTAGGGGGTCAGGCGAAGCAGTAGGTATTGTTATGTCCTGAGCTGGGGACAGAAGAGGATGATGGGCCCTGTAGCAAAGCTGTCTAGTCAAATTAGGAGGTAGGTGGAAAAAGAGCACCCCACCCCCAACCCCAAAGGCTGGCAGAAGGGAAAGGGGAAAGTCAAGTGGGTAGCTGTGGTGGGGTCCCCTACGCTCCAAGGCCTAACCTAGGGTGCCAGCGGCTGGAGCTCGGGACAGCTCAGGGGACCACGCCGCGCCCTCCCGGTTCTTCCCCGGGCGCTCCCGGGCCCACACAAAGAAAGAGCCGAGGAGCTGAGCCTCCGACTCTGCCGCTTCCTGGTTCAAGTGAGGCGAATGCAAACGTAGGCGCGGCCAGGGCATGAAGGCGCAGGCGGGCTCCTACTCCTCAGCCCGGACCCCAGCCCTTTCCTCACCTGCTTGGCGGCGCGGCTGCTTTCTCCTCTTCCGGCTGAGGAAGGGTCAGAGTCCTCCCACAAGAAAAAGCCGGACTCCCGGCGCTTCTGCTGCCGCTTTAAATGTCGCTCCAGTCTCCGTCGACGTCGAAGCGACTACCACCGCCGCGGCTACGGACGCCCCACTTGGCCGACAGAGGGCGCAGCGCGCGGGCGAGCCGCCCTCCTCTTCCGAGAGCTGTCCGGGGCTGTCCGGAAGAGCCCGAGTCCTTGGCGGCTTGGCTTCAGCGCCACGCTCTGCCTTCGGCTCTTTCCGTAACTGAAAGCTCTTAAAGTGCTCTGCTCTTTTCAGGGCACAATGCGGTGTGGGAAAGGGATTGCGCTCTGAAAAGAGCATCTAGCATTGCTCCCAGTGGGAAGGAAGTTAGTCTTGTTGGCTCAAACTCTGTGTAAGCCCCCAGGGCTTAAAAACTTTCAGAGTTTCACTTCTCCAAATTTGAAATCTGTTGTGTTAGCCTATTGCTTGAATGATAAGCCACCTTGAAATATAAACTGTGTGTTAAAAAATTCTTAAGTCATACTTCAAATTGTAGGATAACAAGGTAACCAAATTGCACTGTCTACTTTTAAGAAGAAACCTGTATTTGGATAACTCTTGTTAAGCAAATATTAAATGGTACAGTACCTTATTAACATGAGTATTAAATGGACCAGTATCTTATTAACTCCATTTCTATTAACAGTGATCACATTAGATCTGCAGCAAATACACACCAAGTAAGCTAAGTTTCTCCCTTTTCAGAGGGCTCAGTAGGTCCATAAACATGGATGAAAGTATTTTACAAGAAGGGAAAAACAAACCAGTATCAAATGAGCCCTATCTGAAAGGTAATAATATTTGTGTTGTTTATCATTATTTCCATAGCATTTCATCCTTAGAAGCACTAAGAGTCTTACATGTAATTGTTAGTGATTGTTTAATGAGTAGGTTATATACCTGAGTAAAATCCCATTGCATATAGTTAATACATTTTCATTATCCATTCATCAGTTGATAGACATCTAGGCTGTTTCCATGTCTTAGCTATTGTGAACAGAATAGCTACAAACATGGATATGCATGTGTCTTTATAGTAGGAAATACTGTCCTTCGGATATATGCCCAGGAGTGGTAGAGTTGGGTCATATGATAGATCTATTTCTATTTTTCTGAGGCAACTCTACACTGATTTCCACAGTGGCTGTACCAATTTGCAGAAACTCCAGTGTATTTAGTTACTTTTCTATTGTTGTGATAAAACACCATGACCAAGGCAACTTATAGAGAAATAATTGATTTGGGCTTACAGCTCTAGAGGGAAAGAGTTCATGAAAGCTGAGCTGAGGCAGCAGGTATGGTGGCTGGAATAGCAAGCTGAGAGCCCACATCTTGAACCAAAAGCAAGAAACAGCAAATTTAAATTGGTACCAAGCCCTTTAAGCTCTTAAAACCCACCCCTAATGACATACTTACTCCAATAAGACCAACACCTCCTAATTCTTCCCAAACAGTTCTACCAACCAGGAACCAAACATTCAAATACTTGAGTACATATATGAGGACCATTCGCGTTGAAAACACAACAGGCACCCAGATAAAAGCCAGTTTGGAAGGTCTGTAACCCTGGAGTTCTCTGGTCAGCTAGTTTAGTCACTAGGTGAATTCTGGGTTCACTGTGAGACCCTGTCTCAAAAGATAAGATATAGAGAAATAATGGAAGATATTCACATCAATCTCTGGCCTCTACAGGTGTGCACATACATATGCATACACACCTTCATGCATACGTGCATATACACTACATATGTATACATATCGCATAAACAGAAAGAGAGAGAAAAAGAGAGGAGGGAGGAAGGCAGAGAGAGAGAATGGATATTTTATAATGAACTTATCCAATTTGAGAATGAGACCAAAGAATGAGATTAATTCTGACTATGTGACAGAATGAGATGTATAAGACTGAACACAATATAAATCTATTCATTAAGTTGCTTAATATGCATTAAATACATATTAATTAGTACCAACTTGGGCCAGTCAAGGTTCTAGGTATGTGGATATAATTATTATCAAGGAACAATTCCAGTCTTCATGAAACTTATGTGCTAATGGGAAGAGCTGTTGTAGAACATTATTTTAAGATGTGTTGCATTTGTTTGCACTGTGGAACATTTAATGACGCAAAGATGTGTTGCATTCTTTTATGTTGCATTTGTTTAACTCTGTAAAGCTGTGTTACTGTGCCTATCTAAAACACGTAATGGTCTAATAAAGAGCTGAACAGCCAATAGTGAGGCAGGAGAAAGGATAGGCAGGGCTGGCAGGTAGAGAGAATAAATAGAAGGAGAAATCTAGGAGGAAAAGAAGAAAGAGCAAGAGAACAAGGAGAGGAGGATGCTAGGGGCCAGCTACCTAGCCACACAGAAAGACACAGAATTAGAAGGAAAGAAAAGAAATACAGAAATAGAGAAGAGTAAAAGCCTAGGGGCACAAGGTAGATAGGATAATTTAAACTTAAGAAAAGCTGTTAAGAAACAAGCCAAACTAAGGCCAGGCATTTATAAGTAATAGTAAGTCTCCATGTGTATTTATTTGGGAGCTGGGTGGCAGGCTCCCCAAAAGAGCAAAGAGCCAAAAGTGTTAAAAACAACAACCAACAACAAGGAACATATAATAAACACGTTAATATATAATTTAAACACATAATATAGCATCAGTAGCATCAGTTTGGTAGTTTGAATGAGAACTGACCCCATAGGCTCATATGTTTGAATACTAGGGTCCCCAGTTGGTGGAATCATTTGGGGAGTACTACGAGGTATGGCCTTGTTGGAGGAGGTGTGTCACTAGGGGCTGGCTTTGAGGTTTCAAAAGAGTCATGCTATTACCAGTTTTCTTTCTCTGCTTCCTGCTTGCAGATCAAGATGTGAACTGTTTTGCCACCATGGCCTTCAAAAAAAGATTATATCCAAAACCAATAGGTTGAGCTTATTATTGTTCTTTCAGGGAAAGAAAACACACACTCCAGGAAACTATGGAGTATCTCAGTAACAGGATGTTAGAAAGAACCTGTTTGAGCTGGTCTTCTGATATATGCCTGTGAGCCCAGATCTGTAGGAGGCTGAGGCAGCAGAGTTGAAGCTTCAGGGCCTTCCTGGGCTACAAAGCCAGTTTAGGGTCAGCCTTGGCAATTCAGTGAGCCCTTATCTCAAAATGAAAATTAGAAAAGAGCCTGAGAGCTAACACAGTGGTAGAGAACTTGCCTAACATGTGGGCTCAGGTTTAATCTCCAGTACCAAGAAAAAAAAAAACATTAGAGGAGTTGGGCAATTTGAAAGTGAGCCTCAGGACATAGGTATCCCCTAGAATTCAGATACAATCAGAAATTAGGAACAATTGTATGGTTGTCTAACTCAGTAATTCTTATTTATAGTGGGTACACATTTAAGTGAGATTAATACTGTAATTGGGAAAATGGCAGTTACCTATGTTGCACAATATGGGACATTCATTGCTTCCTGGGTGGCACACTGACCTTGTTTTGCCTGTGCTTAGACAAAATCATTTCATTTAGTCTCAGTTGATTATTTTCCTATGACCTTGCTTGGGGTCTTGTGGGTTTATGTCTAACAACAGAAAAATCTGCCAACCTGTAAATGATATCAGAGGTTGTTTAAACATCACTTTCTTAGATAGCAATTGAAAAGCCTAAGACTATAAGGAGCAACTCTTAGAAATATTGAAGGAAGGGAGAGGAAGAATAAAAGTGACTGTCACCCCTCTTCATCAGTAAGTAGTAGTTTAGTTGTGGCTAGATACATAACTCAGTAATAAAAGCACTTGCTTAACATGTGAAAGCCAAGTTTAATGGCCAGCAACACACACACACACACACACACACACACACACACACACACACACACACTAACAAAATTTACACAATTCATGAATATCTCTGATCAGAGCATGGTGGTGCATGCTTGTAATCCCTGCACTTGGAACCTGAGTCAGGAGGATTATGAATTAGAGGCCAGTCTGGAATTCATGACTGGTTCTGAGCTAGTCTAGGCTACAGGGCAAGCACTTGTCTCAAAACAAGTGGTCATTTAATAAATATGTTAAAATTTCTTTATTTATTATGTGGGTGGTGGGAAGGGCACATTCATGCCACAGCATGTGTGTGCATGTCAGAGGACAACTTGAGAATCAGTTCTCTCCTTCCATACTGTGTGTTCTAAATTTTGAAGTCAAGTTGTGAGGCTTTGCAGGTAGTGCCCTTATTTACTGAGCCATCTTGCCACACTCAGGGCTATTATGAGACATATTTATACTAAAACAGTATTTGTTCTTTATTTGAAATTCTAATATAAGTAGATCTACTGTATATTTTCCTTTACTAAATCCAACAGGACAAAAATAAACACATTTGTGGGTTAATCAGATCCTCTGGCTCTATGTAGGAAATACTTTGAATACCTTCTCCATTTTCTAACTATCTTAAAAATCTACAACTGGGTGTGATGGTGCATGTCTTTAATCCCAGCACTTGGGAGGCAGAGGAAGGCAGATATTTGTGAGTTCGAGACTAGCCTGGTCTACATATTGAACACTGGGCCAGCTAGAGGTATATAGTAAGACCCCGTTTTTAAAAGTAATAAAGTGTTATACTAATTTCAACCTGTCACTCATGGCTGTTATGTTTTGTTTTAATTTTAAAGTAAATAGTTCATGTAAGACACTTAGTATAGTACCTGACACACAAAACAGTCTATATGACTACTTAGGAATAATTACTTTGATGTAGGATCTTCTTACGTAGCTATGGTTGTTATTTCATACAGAGTTATTATCCTTAGGACATATTTATGCTAATCATTATTTATTTATTTGAAATATTCTATTTTTACTTGTTTGATTTTGAACTACTATATTTTCTTTTGCTGAATCCTATAAAACCAAAATAAATACTCTGTTGGTTACATAAGATCCTCTGAATTTGTGTCAGAAATGTTTTTGAATACTTTGTTCTTTTTTGCTATTCTTATTAAAATTTTCCTTTTCATTCAAATAGATACAGGAAAGTATATAATTTTATGTGTGCCATTGCTATATAGCATATATGTGCACACAGCTGTGTATATTGTATGTACATACATGTGACACATAAGTGTCCACAGTATGCATCCACACAGTATGGGAGACAGTAAGCATCAATGTTATAAAATATATAATACATATAGAATATAATATATATAATAAAATATATAATACTCATAGAAAGTGTATGCAACATAAGTAGAACTGATACAGCCACTCTGTGAAGTATTTGCATATGGTCCAGCCTCTTGTCCTTCACTTGTTATAAGCATTGGAGGTTGAACAAAATGTGGTCCCTAGTCCAGTTTAGACCCAACAAGCTAAATGTAGAACCCAAAGATGAATAGGATTGGTTGCAGTGTCAGCTTATTTACACTTATGTACGTACACCTTCTTCCTGGCAGGAAGTCTTAGGAACCTGGGGGAGACTTAACAAAGTACTTGTAATGGTTTCCTTAACTTTGTGTGATTCTGCAAGGTGTTTGAGCCATTGCAGCACTTGGTGAATGTGTGCCCTGTTCTGGTGACTTCCACATCTCCAATGTTCTATTCCAAAGAAAATCCCAGTGGCAGGACTCTGGCAAACTCTAATATGTACATTCCCAGGTGGGGGATGGTGGCACTGTTCTGGCTTGTGATCTTGGTTGGGTTTCAGGGTGCTAATGACCTCAACCATCAGGGAACAGTTCGAAAACTCATTTTGCTGCTTCTGCCTATGGTCCCCTTAGCAGATTCTTTGTATCTCCTTCCTTTCAGCTTCCTTGGCTTATCTGCTGCTACAAGCCCGGGCAAAAACACAAAGAGAAGGACTTCAGTATGGGATAGCTGAGTGAGGTATCTGCATTGCTGTGAACTCTTTGGTCTCTTCACAGTTCTATTGTACTTTATGTGTGCTCTCTTTTCTTGTTTTCAGTCTATCCACAAAAGCTCCTTCCTTTCCTTGTTATCCTCTTTTCTCCATTGGATTCCCACTCATTCTGGGGTCATGTTTGTAGGTGTGAAGAACCCCCTCCTTCTTCTGCCTTAGATATTAAATGGGACTTAGGAGAGAAGATCTAAATATAGCATTTTTTTTGCGTTGCCACTTAGATTTTTTTAAAATGTTTTGTTTGTTGTTTTTGAGATAGTCTCCCCATTGGCTCTATTGTCCAGGCTAGCCTCCAACTCTTGATCATTCTGCCTTTGCCTCAGCAGTGCCGGAATTACAGGCGTGTGCCATCATGACCGGTAGTGAGCATGCTTTTATTTGCCACTAGACTGAAAAGCAGACTTTGCAGTAACCGTAGATTGTCAACCACTGTGTGTCACACCTGCCAGTTTGAGATTTGTACTAAGTTGTACAAATGAAAAGTCTTTGTATATTTGTGATCAAGGGCTTAAGTTGGAAATGGAAAAGAGCATTGTTCTGAGACAAGAGAACTGTGATGTGCTAAACTGCAGAGAAGACTGCCCTGAAACATGTTTCTAGTCTCAATTTTGCCCTGGAAGAATAAGAGGATGAAAGTTTTCCCGTAGTGAGAGTGAATTCTGGACTACAAAAATAGCTGGGGGAGGAGAAGGAATAGAGTTGTAATTATTGTTATATAAGCAATTATTCATAAGTATTTATGCCCAATCAGATAAACTCTTAAGAGCACTATGTGATAAAATATTAAAAACAAAACAGGCATTGAGTGACAGGTTGAAATTCTCATGCATCTATTCTTAGTTCTATATTCCACACAGATGCTATAATCTCCCCATCTAGGTTTTTTTTTCTCCTGTGAAGGTGAGTGGATAGTTGTTCAAACTCAGGATTCTTTAAGTGTATGAACACTACAACTCTATTTTGCTGTCTAGCTGACATAACTTCTGTTTTTTTTCCAGACTGCCATTCTTACCTGGCTAATCACTCTCTGTGCTCTGTACTATTCTTGGTACAATCACCAGAACATTAACACTGGAGTGTGCATTTATACTAAATTTTTAATAACTATTTTAAATGTAGGGACTGGAGAAATGGCTTAGTGATTGAGAGTGCTTGTTGCTCTTCCAGAGGACCTGAGTTCGGTTCCCAGCACCCATGTCAGGTGGCTCACAACCATCTATAACTCAAAGCCAAAGGGATATTCCCCTTCTTCAGGTCTCCCAGGGTACCCTAACAATCCTGGCATCTACTCACACCAGCATACAAATGCTCATAAATAAAAGTAAACCTTTAAAAAAGTTATAATTATCTGGACCTGTTGGAATTTATTTCATATAAATTCTATTTTACATAAGTCATGGTTATATAATTATATGTAACAAATGCTATAAAATTTTATACAGTTTTGGCCCCGAAGACTTCCCTTCTGGACCAGAGGTGAGTACCCGGGTCCAACCCGGACCGCATCCCTGGCCACCAGCCACCCCGGGAGGACCTGCCCAGCTTGGCGCCGGGTTCTGGCCACC